CCTCCTGAGGCATAGCCGCCCTGAAGGTAGAATAAATCTATGTTTCTCAAAACCAGGATAAGACCTTATCCATGTTTCTTAGAGCTGGATATGACCTTTACATGCACAAAATGTAACCTCCAAAAACCTGATCATATCCAGGATACTAGAGCACATGTAAATGCATTCAGTGATGCTTTTGAAGTTTCCTGTAATCAAATATTACATATTGTGACTGAGCTGAGGCATCCAGTTTATAAATAACAAGGTTAAATCACACGCTGTGAAACGAGTACACGTGCTTTGTACAGTTCATCAATCATTTTATCAATCCGTGTAATTGATTGAATCGATTAATCAGGGAGGGCAGCGAAGGAGAGGAGGTGATTGATGGCAGCGAGGATGGATCCCACCTGATTGAAATTCAGTAGCCGGAGTCTAAAAAGGTCAAGGGTCACACTAGAAGCATTTATAGGGATAGCAGCCTCTTAGTGGGACATTTGATGCCATGTTATGAATAGCCTTTATCCAAAGTGTATGTTTGTGTGTGTGCGTGCCTGTGTACATCGGGCATCTATTCCTCTGAGGTTGCTTGGCCTTGTGATTGCGATGGGTTAAGTGATGCCGAAACCCAATAATAAATCTCTGGCATAACCTGCACAGATGACCTGAAGGTCACTGTTTCATTAACTGTCTTCCACTTTGATTTCCGCATCCCTTGTTCCTGTCTGCTCCCCTGCCTACCTGACTACCTGCTCCCTGCACACACCTACCACACACCACACACATCCTGTCGAAGACAACATCAATAGACATGGACAAACTGGAAGGAGGCTATATGGTTGACATAAACATTCTTTATGTGTGTGTGTATATATATATATATATACGTGTGTGTGTGTGTGTGTATGTGTGGAGAGAGAGAGAGAGAGAGAGAGAGAGAGAGAGAGAAAGAGAGGACAGATCAAGATAGACAGGAAAGGGGGAGAGAGAGGGGACGACACACAGCGAAGGGCCTGAACCCATGGCCGCTGCAGCAAGGGGCATCAGATCCATGAGGTGAGCTATATATAAAATAAAAATCCTTAAAGGAATAGTGTGACATTTTAGGAAGTGCTCTTATTCACCTTCTTGCTAAGAGTTAGATGAGAAGATTGATACCACTCTCTCATAGCTATATGTTAAATATGAAGCTAGAGCTGGATGAAGGTGAGCTTAGCTAAGCATAAAGACTGGAAACAGCTAGCCTGGCTCTACATGTCCAACGGTAAAAAAAAAGCCAGCAACTATAATGCTTTCAAAAAAACATGTTGTATGTTGTATCTTCTGTGTTTCATATGAGCAAAGCTCTTTCCTTTGTTTAGATCTTAATACTAAGCTAAGTTCACCATCTGCTAGCTCTGGCTTCATTTTGACCGTGCAGACATGAGAGTGATATCAATCTTCTCATTGAACAGCCGAAAGGAGAAAAAACAGATTTTTAAAATGTTTAAATTTTCTTTTAAAAGTTTTGCAGCTGAAATTATTGATTGATTAATTGAAGATTAATAAATGACTCAATTTGCAATTTGGTAATTGAGTAATTGACAGTTCCAGCTTCTCAAACGTGAATATTTACTAGTTTTCTTTGTATTTTATAGTAAATATAAAAATATGTAATATCTTTGGTTTTGGACTGCTAGTCAGACAAAACAAGCAAGCTGAATATGTCCACTTGGGCTTTGACTGTGATAGGCGTACCATCTATGACCAAAATATGAATTAATCTAAAAAATAATTAGCAGTGGCTTTTTTATGAAATAAGCTGGTTCTGCTTTGATTCACTTCTTTGTGAAATAAAAGAGAAAGAATTACAGTAGATGTCTGTGTTTTGCTCTTGAAAGAAAAAAAAAGCGCTTTCTGTGTTGAGACTTGCCACCACTCCAGATGGAGAGTGGCCATGTGGGTGGATTTGTTTGTACTATTCAAGCAAAGTTTTACTTTCCCCAAATGACAAAAAAGTTGCTCACTGCCACTTAGCTGTCCAAGGCCAAAGGAGCCTCTTGTAACTGCATGGTATTCCCCATTCAGCTTTTTATAGATCAGATCATTTGAGCCTTAGTTGAAAGCAGCAATTAATCAGGAGGGAATTGTTGTAAAAAGCCTCAGGAGTAGAATCTAAGCACCTCTCTTGACTGCTTTTGTGTTCAAATGAATGTTTTACCTTGTCCTGGTTGGTATTGAAAGCACCAAGGAGAGAGGGTCTTCTGCAGCCTTGCTAGATTTGCACACAGGTATTCAGCGGCCTCTTCTTCTTTTCACCATAAGGGGAGGTTCATCTCTTCTGAATCCCCACTACAACACAGCTGAAATCGGGCCAAGAATCTCTCTCCTTTGATTATAGGTTTTATGCAGTGAGTGTCATCATCAAACACACTGAATGCTCATCCTCACTCACCCACCATTTCATTCACTCTTTTTTTCATCTTGTGTTCTGTCACCAGACAGGCTGTGTTGCCAGGTATATGGAACCTGCTCCTTGGGTTCGGCGTACAAACACTGAAGCTCTGACTCATGTCTAGACAGAAAAATTAGGGCATACATACAGACAAAAAAACTGTGACATTTAGGCAAGGTGTTCACGCTGTGCAATCAGACCTCATTTTCCACACTGAGCTCAGTCAGTGGTAGCCATGTCTCGATTTGGCAAGGAACAATCAGATTTAATGTGAAGCCTTTTTTGTGATTCCTATTTCCGCAGGCTCTGTCCTCAAATGAATGCAGCCCAGAGCTCACAGCTAACGGCATATCTTTGAAAGCACAACTGCTCTGTCACTAGGCTGAACTAAAATGGAATCAGCAGGAATGCATTTAATACTGTGGAGTTCTTTTTTTTTTTTTCAGACACAGTGCTGTGTGTCATAGCATGGCGACAAGGTGACATGCCGTGCCATTACAGAGGAATTCTAGCTCCAAAATTAGTCTAAGAACAATGATCTTGTGATAACTTATATGGTTTTCATTTTTATTTCATTTCCTCCTATTTGGAATATGTTTTAACAATAAAAAAAACATTTATTTTGTCTTTTTAAATTTGAATCTGGATTTCAGTTCATCTTAATTTTGAAGCCATTTATGCTTTAGAAGCTGGTGTATGTCAAATTCTGCTAGAGTTTGGTGGGGAGAAACACGCAACGCCTCGCACAGCACACACAGAGAGAAATGATGACGTGAAAGAACAGTAGAGATTGTTCAAGAGTCAATTTTTGTCTTGTGTGAAGTCATCTGAGGGGTGATATTGAATCTTTGGGGATAAGAGACAAGACTGTGATGTTTCAGTAGCAAGACAAGGTAACACACCTCAGCGAGACTGCGCTTGTTGATGTAATTTATTGCAACATTAAAAAAACTGTTTAAAACATTTTCGCTTCAAGCTGACTTTCAAAACTTTACCAGACACTTCCCTTATCTTATTTAGCTGACAAAATGTATGGCCTGAGCTTGGCTTTGTTCAAGTTTTTATTCACAGTGTGTGAAAGTTTTGTTAAGGATTAGATTAACAGTCCCCAACGGTCTGCTAAAAAAAATCTCAAACCTTTCTTAAAGCTATTTCTAATGTTTTTGCTCCTCCATTTATCTCTGTTAAGCTTCAGTTCTGTTTTGTTCTGACACTGCAAAAGGGAACAAAGATAAGACTTAAACTTATTTGGTGAGCTCAGAGGAGTTTTTACTCATATTTAGTATGTCAGTCCAAAAACATATAATCCCAATTGTATTCTTGCTGTGACTTACAATGTAATTGGTCCTGTGAGTCAATAGTGACATGACAGTGACCTTATTGTCATACTCCTTTAATTGGACTGGCTGTTATTACCCCCAAAAACAGCAGCAGCCTTGGTTTCAAACCATATTAGTGGTTTCAACAGCTACTTTGTTTAAAAAAATATATTTAAATGCTTATTATATTAAACCTAATTAAATGAAATTACTGTCAAAGTTGGTGTAAAATACAGCTGCGTATTTTACTGATTAAAATGTTGAGTGAAACCCCAAGAGAACATCTACTGCACAAGAGTTTGACCTTGATCCTCCAAATTTGCTTGCAAGGCCTTAATTGCTTATAGCTCTAATGAGGGCATTTTACATAATTTTAGAAGAGTGGGAATACTGTGGTGGGCTCACTCCTTTCCATCGTTTGGCATAAGAGCAATTTAGAGTTCTAATTGTATGTTATTTGGTCAAAAATGACTTTTCCATTCAATGCTCTCTGTAGGCTACTTCAGACGTACATATGGTTGGAGTAGACTTTTGTACACAAATACTTACTGTAATGAAACTAAGACATTGAGCTTAATTACTCCATTAAAAGTCCAGTATGTAACATTTAGGAGGATCTGTTGGCAGAAATGGGAAATTATATGCATAATTATGTTTTCATTAGTGTATAATCACCTGCTGTTGGTCTTTGCTTATTTATTATTGTGTGGATATCCTAGTTTTTGGTTGTGGAGAGAAATCCGTTCAGGAGGTACTGTACAGAGAAGGGACCAGATTTTTATAAATTAATATGAATGATATACTGTAGTAGGAAGTTCAATCAGCAGTTCTGCAGTTACTGTTTAAAAAAATATCTTCTTGGCTATGGTTTGTGAGATTAACAGGTTTTTTCTAGGATAGAGGATTTTTGTAAACGTGTAATGCAAAGATGTCAAACAGTGCAACAATCATGCATAAGTGGAAGTTCCAGAGAAAACTCTCACACTCAGGAGCTCATGACCTTTGACCACAACTTTTGGACTTTTGACAGAAGATGATATGGATGACGGCTAACATGCCAACGACTTTCCTTTAGACAACTGCAGAGAGTGGAGAAGCATTCAAGGATGCCAAAATCATTTAGGAGGGAGGGCTACAATTTGTTTTCTCTACAGGAAGTTCCTCAGTACATTGTTACACCTGGTTGTTTTTGCCTCTGTGAGGATCCTGATTTTGTAATCATTTATTAAAAATGAATGCCTCCACCCCTTCTGCTCTCTCCTCAGATCCGGACTTTGCAGACTTAGGAGTACCCCCACCTCTGCCCTGTAGGTATACTCCCTCACTCTCTTTCTGCCTCTGTTTCTTCCTTTTTATCTTTCTGTCACTTGTTTTCACATTAGCTCTCTCATTGCTCTTTTTGTCTCAATAAAACTATTTATACTATGATTCCTCCAGTTATATACGTACAATATTTGTGTTCTAGTTATCTAAATTATGTACGTATGTGTACTTGTGTGGTAATTGTGAGTCCATGTGTTTGCTTGAACAACATGTGTGTGTGTATATATATATATATGCATATATATATATGTGTTGTGTATATGCATGTGTTTGTGTGTGTTTATGCATATGTGTGTGTTTCAGCCTGTCAGTATGACATGGTTGGTCCAGAAGGTATCGTTGAGTCCCATCAGATCACGAGAGACGGGAAGGCTGGCGCCACAGAGGCCGTCGACTGTAAATGGTACATCCGTGCTCCGCCGCGCTCGAAGGTTAGTGACATAAGATACGCTCCCATCCAACTGTGAATTAGATTTACTGCCAAATTCTGAAATGTCACATAAAACACAATGGAAATGAAATTCTGTCCCCATCAGCTGAGCTGATGACAGCATAACGCAGTTATGTCAGACAACAAATCAACAAGAAAAAATAGATGCTACAAGACTTTGACAAATACTGCGTGTCTTCATTGATTCCAGCTTCAAGATCTATTGAATATTTTTCCTTATTAATTTGCTGTTTCCATTCAGCATTCTTTCACATGCAGTAAGATCAGGGGTTGCATCAGGAAGCTTTGATATTGCATGTGGGTTTGTCTGCAGCTGTCAGCAGTATCCCAATGTGAGTGTTCGTGGCTGCGGGGGGACTTGTTCCCCTGCTAGGGTCAGACAGATAGGCAGAAGGGTTTATTTGGGGTCAGGCCCATTTTTTTAATCAGCAAGCTGTTGCCAAGAGGAATAGAGGGATGGAAGGAGATAGAGAGAGAGAGAGAGAGAGAGAGAGAGAGAGAGAGAGAGAGAGAGAGAGAGAGAGAGGACCAGACAGACAGAGAGAGGGAAGGAGCGTTAGTGCTGATGAAATAGTGTTGCCATGCAGTTTGACCCTGAGGCCTGCTACAGCCTGCATTTGTTTTCTCTGCCAGTGTTCTCCACGCTGCCCTGCATACATATACAAATCCTGACATGCACACACACACACATACGCATGCACACCTTTGCTACATCCCCAAACACACGCTAGACATGGTTCCTTATCTACCAGGGGTACCCGTGCTGCATTAATGCTAAAGGATTAAACGTTTCCTGAGGGTAGAGCAGCAGTGCAGGAAAAGGCCACATTTTACAAATGCTATAACTTCTCCTATGAGTCCATAAGGCTTGATCATATACGCATACACAGTCCAGTCCATGACTGCAGTAAATCTGCTGCTGAAATAGTGTTGGCCCTCTTCTGGGTGCATTTGCAAGATGTTAGACATTTTTACTTTGACTTTTATGGTTAGAACAATTCACTCAAGGACAGAAAGTATTATAAGGTCTACTTTTTTAGGATTTAAAGGGTTTGGTCACATTTACAATATTGTATTTGTAAAGTGTGAGGTAAAATAGACCTGCAATTTATGTTGTAATGGCTTCAGGGATGTTCAAAAAGCTAGTTCGACATTTTTAGCGGAATGTAAGAGACAATGAAAATAGACATGAAATGTATATAAGAAAAGCCTCCTTTAACCTTAACACTTATAGGTTACTGGGAAAATCTGAAGTCAATACATATAAAATGGTGTACCTTATAGGTTTTTATTCAGTTTGCAGAGTATGTGCATTTTCCCGTTGTTCCCAGGAGTGAGATAAGGCAGCAGCAATGTCAGCTTAACCGTGTCACTATTTGTTTCACTAATTCAGCGCCTGTTAATGTTACAAGATGTTATCCTTTCCTTTTTGAGGCCACCACAGAGATCTTTTTAAAGTGATACACTCCACATTAGGGAAGCTATTAAGCTTTGTTCCATCCCTGATAAAAAAAACTGTGATTTGCTTCATAGTAGTTTTTCATGCAAGTTTTTCATGCTGCAGGCTCTTGAACTGTACACACACACTGGCTTATGATATGAATGGCTGATAATGTTGGCGTGACTGTGATTCATGGCCGCAGCACTTGCTTGGCTCTTATCTGACATATTCTTCGGGTCGCATATTTCTCGCTTATGCCTTTAGTTTCCCTTCAGAAATGTCCTTCAGATTCAGCTACTTTTAAGCCCCAAGGCCGCAGGAACTATAATACGTCATCCGCCTCTCTTCTTCTCTTCACCATCAGCACTCAGGTGGAGCCATACAATAAGTAACACTGGAACAGGTATTAGGTGGAGCCCCTGTCTGTAACGGTCGATTCTAAAAAGAAGCATTGATTCCTCAGTCCCTCTAAGTGGAGTGTGTAAGTCAGCCAGTATGTTGTGGCTATGGCACCAAAGAGGACCATAAGTCAGTTTTGTGTGCGTCCCATGCATGACTCTGTGTATGTGTATGTGCAAGGCTGTATATGTGCATGAAAAAGCGACAGAGTGAGCAAGCCTGGCAGTATGATATATTTCATTTGGTCTGAATCAGTGTCATATTTCGCCCTGCAGGAGTGTCTCACTAGGCAAGTCATGGGCCAAAGGCTGACAGTCATTGGCGGTGATGGACAAGCCGGCAAATAAAATTTTTAGCACAGATCTATCTTCAGTCATACAGTCCTGGAGCTCTTACCTCTATCGGCACTGCTCACACTCAGTTAAACATTAAATATCTAAAACTTACTGTATCTCTCTGTTTCTCACTTCCTCTCTCTTTCTGAAGCTCACACATGCATGCTCACATGTTACTGCAGTGAAACCTCAGCCCATCAATGTGTATGTGCATGCGTTGGGTTGTGCTGCGTGCAGGGCAGGGTTTTCATTTCCCTATGCTGATACAGTACTGCACTGTACCCAGTGTGCCAGAAACAGCAGAGAGATAATGACATCCTATACCGGAGGCTCTAATTAGACTGCACCGGAGCACTCCAGAGAGAAGGGAGAAGAGGGGGACAGAGGAGGAGAAAAGGGGATAAGGGAAAGATATACTTAATAATGCATTTTGTCGGAGATCTAAATGTATAGGGATGAAGTTTAGGGGTGAGATGGCAGATGGCGGAGAGAGGGATGGTGTGAAAGGTAAGGGAAAGGGGAGACTGACTGAAAGATATACCTGCAAGTAAGCAATAATGACCATGTGTTGTTGCCAGAAGTGACAGCACTGCACCAATTTTAATGCCATAATGTGATTGCTTTACGCCACCATGTGTCATTTTAATTTCAGCTTCTCCTATAAATAGATTTCTCAGAAATTACCGCCCCCCCCTAAAAAAACAAAAAACAAATTAGCTATAGCTGGTATCCAAAGTAATGTAAAAAACCAACATGCAGTTAGCAGTAGAGCCTGTGCAGCACAATATCGCCTTTTACAATAAAGAGATAATCGATGTTTCAATGAAAAGAGTTTTACAAAATAACGACTCTCTTCAACTGCAGTCTGCGTTTTTCTAGTAACATTTCTTCTTGGTTTTTTTTCCGTTTGGAAAGCTGTCTTAATTCAGCTGACAGCTGTTAGTTGTGGAGGAATATTTTTTAGTTGCCTCATGTTGACTCATAACAGTTCCTGCATTTTCCTCAGACATCATTTGTGTCCTGTCTGTTTCCCACCACACCTGCCTGCACTGTCTGACACCTTCTGTATCTTTTCATGAAGATAATGGCCAAAATATGGACATTCATTCTGACTGTAATGAACACCGCGAACAGAGTGAGAACATATTCTTCCCCAGTCAGTGATGGATTCTGCGTCATTATTGGGTGCTGCAGAATCAATGAAGAGGCAGCCTATTTTCCTGCTGGAGCCAATCTTTCGTCCTACAAATTGGTGATTGTATCTATCTGATCCATTGCCGTCATTTGGCTTTGTGATGCCATTTTTACTCTGATTTTTCTTCATCATTCTCCAGTTAGATCAGCTCAGCAACAAGAGCTGTAGAAAAACCAACACAAAAAGCTTTTATTTATGTATCTGTTGAGTTGCACCATGTCTCCTTCCAATAATGAGGCCTTCTTGATTGCCTTTCTGGTCAAATCTAGTAACTGGCATCTATCAGACATCGCTGTAGTGACGGCAAAGGTTGAGCAGAGATATGACAGGCCCGAGGAAGTGCAGTTATTATTTTTCCATGCTAAACTCAGCAGGATGCACAGCAGATATATTGCAAACAATAGCAGTCTGTGTTACCATTTACACCATTTCATGTAGTAAAAATGATACATTTTTGATTCGAGGCAGTCATCTTTTACAGCATAAAAGGGTGTATGTGGCAACAAGGTGTAAGGACTTTTTCTTTTATCACTGTGTGTTGCCCCCCCCCCCCAGCACATTTAGATACAATAGTAGGCTACATATGTGTACATACAGTACGTGGTGGCTGAAACATGGGGGACACAGCAAGGATATTAGTTAAGCCCAGTTCAGACCAAATAATTTGCGATGAGTCGGTTTACAGCACTGTGATGACACGAAATTGTGTATCCTCTCCATAGCAACAACACTCTGTACTTCCATTCTAACTTCTGGCTTTTCAGGTTTTTTTTCGTTCCTGGATAATTTGTGCCTCCTTAAAATATGATGAGTTGGTGAGCGTACCTGCTACAGTTACATTTCTAGTATTGATGAAATGCCAAAAATGGGCAACAAAATACCCGGGGGAAGTCTTTATTTGAGCTTGCTAACATTTGCTTAACACGAAGTACAACTGAGGCTGATGGGAATTACATTTGTTTTTTTATTATTTAGTCATAAGCCAAAGATTAGGACAAATGAAAATTCTGACCAAATGATGGCGCTAGATGAGAAGTCAGAGGAAGTGAGTAAATTTCAGCCTGAGGGGGACATGAACGACTGTACAAAACTTCAAGTCTGTGTTTTTTTTAAGCAGTTTTTTGTGTGTAGTAATAAATAAAAATGATACTAACATAAACAGTACACAGAAAAGATATTTCCACAAAATGGCTACAGTATACATGGCCTGTTATTAAAGTGTGGAAATCTGCATGGCGCTGATGTTAGATTGCTGGCCTGAATTATTATCCCAATCAGCCAAAGTCAATAGGATATAAAAATCTTGCATCGAGCAGATGTTGAATGCAAGGCAATCCAGCTACCAACTTCTCCAACACCACCAGCAGCCTCATGATTCCATCCAGAACCAGTTATCATGGTCAAGCCGGGGGATTATGCTCTTTAGTGATTGGTGGTTCATCGCTTTAATCAGCTATTACCACCAAATTAAGTCTATTCAAAAAGTTGAATGTACACTTCATCAACAATGTTTTGTATTTGTAATTAGTCCCCCCTAATTGAATGAACTTTTATTGGTTACAGACTGCTGCATTAACTGCATTCTTTGTGCTGTGGGTGGGAAACTTCATGTCTAATTTGCCGTCACTTTGACTGGGCCAAGTGACCTAATTAAAATGCTTATAGGTACTTTTGCCCATTATTGGCCCCTTGAACTATTAAACAAATGGAGACAAAGTTGGCTGAGAGCACCTACCCATAACCTTAACCTTGACTGTAACCTTAACAATAACACATTAAAGCAGACTTCTTTGGCCCCATGCCGCATGGAATGGAGCCATTTTTAAATATCATCCATGAATAACAACTGCTTTGTACTTAACTTGTTTTTGTGACCGTTTTCTTTAAATTTCCTTATATTTCTGAAATCTTTTGCAGCATTTTTTTATGTAAGTTCCTACAGTGTCACATGACGTTCCTCTCAGATCACTGACCTAATCACTGTGTCATCCACCCTATTGAGAAACCAAGTTTAACATCCACTATCTCAATCTTTTAATCACGTTAAAAGGAAATGGAAATCCATGCAATAATGAAGAGACCACAACAGCACTCCTCAGTGACGTATGCTAAGAAATTGTCTTCCAGCCCTCCCTGCAGGGATTAAGACATTTTAATATCAATACAAGTCTATACAGTCTCTGCGACAAATTAAATTTAGGTGAGGCACATACTGCCCCCGCACAGTACTGTATATATGTACATTCATCTTTGCAACTTTGCTCTGACATTGAGCAATATTTTATTCCAGTATCACAGCATAGAAGAGAAAAAATGCCCTGATTCTTGTGACAAAGCCAATATAGCCCAAACACTGGCTGAATATGCCAAATCTTTATTAGAAGGAAGATTATTGACACCAATATGAGAACTCTAGGGGAATTGGCTAGCTTGTTTTCCCCCTCCGATCCATTTCACATGTCAAGTTGTTGAAGCCGAGCTGACATTGCAGGGTCTATTATCCTGCTCCATCTGCAGCTTCCGTCTTTGGGCATTTAAAGCGTCACATTTCCCTGTCACAGTTCGGGAGCGGTCCACTCATTAACCGTAATGATGGCGAGTGCTGTGCGCAGCCGACCAGAACCATAAGCTGTGATTGGGCGATCTCAGCCTGATAAATGAGTGATAGACACTGATGTGCAGGCAATCAGGAAGTGTTAGTTTCACCTAGTATGGCTGTTGTGAAGAGTCAAGGTGGATAGCAAGGTGGATATTTCATTAAACAAGGTATTGCTACTGTGGGTTAATAAAATAGTCCATATACTGTATATATTGCTCATGAATGACTTTGTTATATGCTGTATATGTTTTGAAAGTTTAGACTGAATTTCAAAGGAAGGGTCTCTAAGTGGATGACATTTTCTCTCTTGAACATCCAAATCTTGTGGCAAAATGTCCAAGGTCTCTTTAAAGTTTAACAAGGTTGTAGGTTTAGTGTAATGCTTTATCTCAACAGATATGGATAATGAGTCTAAAGCTAATAGACTCTGTCTGCCTCTGAGTCCTCGTTTGATATGCGTATGTAATGACTTTGTACAAGCTGCAGTCTGTCAGTCTTATTTCATTACAGAGCTGCTATATCAGGCACTGGGATAATGAGTAAGATGCACAGGCCATAATAGGACGGAGCTGAAATCTTTCCTGTCAACCCTCTCTGTTCTGTTTTGTTCACCTTTTTCCTGTCATCTTAAATTTCCTCATTTGATCTCTGCTTTTTCTCTTTGTATTTTCCCTCCTCTCTGCCTCCTCGCATTGGACAGATCTACCTACGTTTTCTCGACTATGAGATGGCCAATTCCAATGAATGCAAGCGCAATTTTGTGGCAGTGTATGATGGTGGCAGGTGGGACTTTCTCTTTCATTTTGATAAATCATGCAGAGGCTCAAAGTGGGCTCAGTTGCTCCTTAATTTTAGGCCCTTTATCTTGTGATCACAATGTTTTTTTCTGGTGAAGTCTTAAATATTTAATTATGAAAGGACAAGAAATTCATGGTTTTGTCAAGATATAGTTACTTTGTCCTAGTGAGTCCATGTCAGGTTGGCCTCTCTAACCGACTGGGTAACAGAACAAAAACAAAGATTGATGAACAGATCAAATTTTTACATTACAGAAATTTCAGTGTTTCTCAGTTACAATTAAGAGAATAGTCTAAAACATTTATCAGAAATGTGTTCACTTCCAAAGAGTTAAATGACACCACTCTCATGTCTGTATAGTAAATATTCAGCCACACCCAGCAAGTACTCGACTGAAACGAGTATCCGGTACAGATTATGTACTTTTTAAAAGGTGTCAGTAGTCGTACTCATAAATATAATATTCTGAGAGTGTTCTTTAAAAAGTAAAAAATACAGCAACTTCCGATCAACCCAAGTAGGAACCTATCATGACGTCACCCATTGTTTTATGGAGTTTTGAAGCCTCGACGTACTGCGAGTTGGGCTGCACTTGGTTTCAACTCGTCTGTAGCAGGAAAAACAGCTGCTTGCCTGGTCACACAGTTTCTCGTATGAGAGATATATTATATACAGAAATATAATCAGACGTCAATTTTATAGGCAACTTCACAAAAACCTAACTTCTTCTTATCTCAAGTTAACAGGATATTAGGATCATGGTCAAAGAAAACAATATTTGATATTTTGAGATTAGAATATAACGGTATAATTAACTGTAATGTGCTTAAAACCAAATATGAGTTCCCAAACCATCTAATTTGTTATATTGAGATTATAAAGTTGTGATCACAATAAAATAATATGAGCAACCATGGCTGCTCTGGGCCTGTGTTTAATATTGTGGATTATTGAAATGCACAGCCAATAACCATAATACCTGATAATAAACCATGAATTCTTATCTCATCCTGTCTCATCTCAGTTCGGTGGAAGACCTGAAGAGCAAGTTCTGCTCCACGGTGGCCAACGACATCATGCTGGTCTCCACGCTGGGTGTCATCCGCATGTGGGCGGATGAGGCGAGCCGCAAAAGCCGCTTCCGCATCCTTTTCACTACCTACCAAGAACGTAAGATACAACAAATATCTACACCCACACATGTGTTGTTAACCATAAAAAAGCTATTTACTGCAAAATGGCCCACCTACTGAGGGAAACTAATTAGCTTTATTAATCAGACCACCACTCAGGGTCAGCGACATTGACGGCTAAATAAAACAGGTCTGGTCTTCAGTGGTAGCCATTAAAAGAAGATGGAAGCACATTGACCATGTTTATGGCAAGTTATATTGTATGCCATTCATAGGAAAGGTGCTGTCAGAGGTTTCCATTTAGTTTTATGACCATTTAAACAGCAGCAAGCTGGAAACCAAGGAATATAATTTCCATTATAGGGAATATTGCCTGTGGGTGAAGGTGAATTCATTATTGGTGGACTTTTGCTCAGCACTGCAGCACTACCAGCTGCATCTTAATAAATAGACAAAGGAATATCAGGATGAGCTACAGTATGTTCACATCTACCCGTTTTCTTTGAGCCAAACACCTGGGAGAGAATTAAATTCTCACACACACACACACACACACACACACACACACACACACACACACACACACACACACACACACACACACACACACACACACACACACACACACACACACAGTCTTCCTCTTTCTCATTCACTGGCTTCTCATTGATGGTGCTTGTAGTTTGACAGGGGTTGCAGAGGGCATTCTTTGTACTAGTGGGGTGAATGAAGAGGGTCTGAGGCTTGTGAGTATGCAGTATGTCAATGTCAATGGCACACAGTTGCACAAACAGAAACACACACTGCACTACTGAACGTTGCATCTGCATTTTTGTACTCAAAAAGGAATCTCTCAAAGGGTCAGAAATGAAAACAATAAAGGGCTGTCCAAAAAAGGTATTATAATGGGATTCAAATAAAATAATTATGCAAAATGTATTCACTGAATATATAAAATAATAATTTACAGTTCCACTGAAATTTCAAAAAGATGCATTTTTCTTTCCTTTATTTTTATTTTTTTGTCAATGCCATGCAAGATGCTTCCTTACAGAATACTCTGTAAAGGTCACATTAGTGTTATGGCTATTGAGAAGAAGAAATAATTCACTTTTCCTTCATGCTGCATGGTTGATTGATTGAATAACACAAACTATACCCACACATGTAAGGATTCATCAGACCCTGAAGAGCAATCAGCCTTTTACAACACGTCTATACTAGTTTGTACGTCTATATTGTAGTGATAAGAGCAGATAAGTGGCTAGCTTCTACAGAATCTGCGACAGCAGTGGCAGCGGAGTTGTTTGTGTTGTGAAGTCAGTGTCCCTTTTGTAAGGCCTTTTCACGAAGTGGAGCCAGGATGTGCTGTTGCCGGGGCAACGCTTCTGCCTAAGTCACTCAGGCGATCCCCAGCCAGACCTCAGCCTTTAGAGCAGCATCCACCACAGCTCAGCAGCACTGCAGCAACACTGTCAACAGTGAATGTATACAGGTGCACCAGAGAACTGGGAAACACAAGCAGTGGAAGAAACTCAGTCTAGTGTGCTGTCTAAACCTGCTTTCAGTGCAGATCAACTTGTTTTACAAACTTCCAGTGAAGTAAGTAAAACACACTGTGGTACATTGGCAGTAGTGGAGTATGGCAGCTTATTTCAATATGCATCATCATTTGTTTAAAGAAACTGCAGTGTATATACTGTAGTAAGTATAACGACGTTTCCTCCCTTTTTAAAATATTTTAAGAGACAAAACTATATTAAATGACTTGTGTACAATATGTAATGACATGTAAATCATCAAATGTATTTTTATTGTTGATTTCATAATGTAAAACAAGTGTATGTTTAATTAGGCTATATTTAACAACGTTCAAGATTACTACTCCCTGAAAAACAGACATGTGAGTAAAGCATTTTAATGACTCTGTGTTTATATGATTAAGCTTTTAAAGGAAAATTCTTCCTCAAACAACCCTGTGCTACCCTACAACTAGCAATATCTGTTAAGTTTTTCAGTTTTAAGCATCTTTAGTGAGTAGTACACAGGTTTTTGCTGCATTTAAGACATTAAATATCATCAAAGTTTATCTTCTATGTGTTTTAATAGTAAATAATATTCCAGTGAGAAGAATAGGCTTACTTGCAACAGCAAGCACTGTACTTTGTCAGTGGGCATTTACTCTTTCTCTTAGTAGAGATACCTTCTATTCACTTGTACCAGAATACATTAGGGAAACTTAAAAAAAACACCATATTATGATGATCCAAAGAGCGTGTATGCAGACATGGCCTTTATAACCTGCTGTAGTGACCAGTACAGCTACACAGTGATGTGTCCATAAGCTGAACAGAAAACTGGTCCAGTTAATAAGTTCACACTTTTATCAATATGTGAATTACAAGAGTAGGTAAATACATTTTAAAATTCACTGCTAAGATAGAGAGCAGGCAAGTACAGTCGATGGAAGGTAAAGTACTATGTGCACTGTGTACTACAGAAGTATAGTAAGAAGTTATGTAATTCTCCTCAGGTAAAAGGAAGGCATTGTGCAACTACTACAAATGAGTGTGTGTACTCTTTTACAGGTGCACTAGCTGGATTTGCAGCTTATAGGGCAGTTTTTACAATAAGAGTTCCCTTGCTACAGTAGTTCCTAAGCCTTTATATATTTGTTCCCAGTGGGACCAGCAGCTTTTAGAGAACCATTCACAGCTGCTGACTCCCAGCGAGGTGCTCCAATAGGGAGAGCAATGTTCCCAAACGCAAACATCCACCTTTATCATCTTTTTGTGTTCACACCTGCTGATACTACTGATCTTGCTCTGTTTCAAGACTCTCTCTCTCTCACACACACACACACACACACACACACACACACACACACACACACACACACACACACACACACACACACACACACACACACACACACACACACACACACACACACACACACACTTCTACTATTCAGAACTACAGTGTAAGATTACCAATTTGAAGTATAAGAAAGTGAAGCGTATCTTTACCCAAGAAGCAATTATGTCTTAGGTGATAAATGTGCGTGTGTGACATCTCAGCTGTCAGCACTGTTACGCCTCATCAACAGATACCCGTCTCTGGGGTTGCAGATGGAAATTTGCTCTGGCTTCACTACACACATCACTTCTAGTTTCTTGCAAAGCTTCTTTACTGTATGCATGAGAGTAAGTGAGAACAACAAGAGTATGCTAATGTCTGTTAACATATGGATCTTTGCTAGGTCTTAGATCAGATAATATGGCCTCTGCGTACTTGCTATGTGGGTTTCTTTGGGATTAAATACTGTGGGGATATTAGATGCAGCATTGTACAGCAACACACAGTAAGATGAGAAGTAGCACTAGATGGATGGATGGATGGATGGATGGTTGGCTCGTCCATGGTTCCAAAACCCATTGACTGGGACTTAGCTACATGATGATAAAATAAAGTAAATTAATAGGTAAATGACAGTTATAGACAAAATTAAAGCAATTATTCTTGTTACATTAATAATTAAGGATCTATTAAGGGGCAATTATAAAAAGGTGGTTCTTAAGCTAGGATTTAAAAGTAGTCGTAGTAGGAAATCTGAAGAGGATCTTTTTAACTAGCTGCAGGCAAGATGGATATATATGACTGACTGACTCCCACATAGAGAGAGTTATAGTATTTATTATCTGCTATATTAATTGTTAATTAATTGAGACAATGATTGCAGGAAAATAAAAGTGTACATAGTGTCAAAAAGTAACATTATGGATTGAAAATAAAAATCGGTATCCAGAAATGTAACCAGTTACTGACAGTAATATTCCAAATTAGAGAGAGATTATATAACTTCTCATCAAAGATCATTATTGTTATTATCATCCTCATCTCCTAGCAATAGAACTCTGCTCCTCTAGAACAAAAACACTCAAAACACAAATCAATAATGCTTATTTGATTTAAAAAATTCAATTCAAACCATGTGTTGCTTCTAGCGCTTCACTGCAGAAGCCTTTTTGCTCTTGGAGCTCCCATTCTGCAGAGACACCCAGACTATTTTCATCAGCCACTCATTTAGGAGTTAATTTATGCTTCCAGCAGTGCCTGGGAACGTTTCTGTGTGGGCAAAAGGGCACTTTTATTACAAAATGTCTTGAAATTAATTTTGCAGGAGATTAGTGTGGATCTCACTCTTTATAATGTCTGGTCTCACCCTGTGCTGTGTGGAGGAGACAGGAGGACTCAGTAGCAGCAAGGAGAAGGAGTGGGCTCCCTCTGCTGGTTGTTAAAATAAAAAAAAAGGTTACAGCTTTTGGCATGTACTGTACGAAAGAAAAAAGATGAGAAACAGAGGTAGGGGGAGAAAATGAGAAGAACACACACAGAGAGCCAATATGACTCAGGAAATGCTGGCCAAGGCCCAGACAGGATGGGATACAGAGACAGATAGAGATAAGTCACTCTAATTTGGTGTGTTATTATTCACTTGGGATGAGTGCTGGGATGAAAACAGCCATACATCACTGTGGTAACACTGTCAAATAGTCCCCAGCTCTGCTATACCACTGGCAAGCTGCTTTAGTACCCAGTGCCAGTGTTGTGTGTGAGAAGGGAGAGAATGAAAGACATACAGAGAGAGAGAGAGACAGCCCCTAAATAGAGCTATCCATTATATTCACATGTCAGTGGCAAACAACTTTTTGGATATTCAGCAACTAAAACTGGTCTCAGAATACTTGTGCATAACGGATAGTATATATAATAATAGTTAGTACTTCTGAAGTACTATTCTACAATATAATTCTACTTGAGTATTTCTTTTTATATATATATGGGGGGGATGACACGCAGCAAAGGGCCACAGGTTGGATTTGAACCCTGGTCTGCTGCAGCAAGGACTCAGCCTTGGTACATGGGGCGCCGGTTCTACCAGGTGAGCTATCTGGGCACCCCTACTGGAGTATTTCTATTGTATGCTACTTTTTAGTTCTTTATCATAAATATTGTAACTTTTACTCCACTATATCGGACAATATGGTTAAAATTGTCTCAGAGTGTATTATATTATATATTATATTGACATATATCTTGATACAGTAGATGTTCTGGAAATTAAGTTAAGAAACTCCCTAGATAAATATAACCAGATGGGAAAATTTGTTTTTGGTTAATGAAATACATCAAGTCACATTTATGTGAAAATCCTCTAAATCCAATATTGCCATATGTTACCATTGTCTCCAATGACCTACTGTAATACAGTTAGGGGTAATAAAGACATAACTACTATAACTATAAATCCTATAATAAAGTCCCTACCAGGTGGCAGTGACACTAACACAGCAGATTAAATAGGACAAACTATTTAGCCTGTGGTTAGCTTGTCATGGCACTGTGATTGACAGTAGGAAGCAATGAATTGGCCAATCAGCTGGCGTATGCATTAGTATGATTGGTTGTTGAGAGCAAGGGCACCTTGGCTTTAAATTACACAGCTCCATCGTCATATATATATATATATATATATATATATATATATTGAAGGAGCCTGTAACATTATCACATTGGTTTTACGACCCTGTCTTGCTGATGGGTGGCTCTACCTCTCCCTGAAAGAAAGGTGAAGACATGTCTCAAACAGGGCACACTGGGAGGGCAGGTGTCATGATGATGATTATGTGTTTCAGGACATGCTCTTATTTATGGTCTGGTTCAGATTTGTGTTGACAAGGGCTGTGCACCCAGTACAAATAAACAACATCTTGCATAAATTGGAAGTATGTGTTTGTGATTGTGAAATGTCATGGCTGTCTTTCCAGACACTGCACACATGCAGCACACACACACATTGCGAGAAATTCATTTATATCCACAAGTCGTCTCTGCAAATGTTTGAAGAAGAGGATGAGGATGAAAATTCATGAAGAACAGATGGGTTTGTGGGGTGGGGGGTGGAGGGGGAGAGAGACAGGTCTAAATTTGAGTAATGCCCGTCCAAATTTATTTCCTCAAAACCTGGCACACTGGAACTTCTCTTCCGCTGTACTTCAAATACTGATTTGTGCCTACACATTTGCTGCTGTTAATGACGGGAAATTCACTAAAAAGTAGTTTAACTCTTTCTAAACGGCTTCTGATTAGATTGCAACTGGATAATGTTTAAGTTCAGTAAAAAAAACACTACTACACTAGATTTTGGTAATCTCTTTACTTTTAATATAAAAGCTCTCAATGTGATAACTATTGTGTTCATTTTCTCTAATCCCTTTCCAGCTCCATGTGATGCAGATGCCTTCTTCTGTCACAGTAACATGTGCATAAACAACACGCTGGTGTGCAACGGCATGCAGAACTGTGTCTACCCCTGGGATGAGAACCAATGCAAAGGTGAGATGTTACATTTCAGCTCAGTCATTTGAGCTCCATGAAGAGAGACCTTAGAGAGACTACGTTTGAATGTTTTAGCACCATGGAGAGCAGCAGAGAGACACAGTAGGTTTGAACTGGATGGCTGCAGTATTTGTCACTTCTGCTACTGTTAATAATAAGAAAATAAATCTTAATTGGTTTTATTGTTAATCCTTTTTTGAACCATTTTTATCAATATTACAATTAAGAATAGACACTTAAAATACATTTTTTCCGCTCTTTAATGCGAGTGATGGGACCCTACACACACTATTTAGTCATTTGTATCAGAATCTAAAGACAGTTCTGTCACTGTGAGTTGATTTTTGAGTGTTAAAATTTAAACTACTACTAGTACTTCTTTGAATGTTGATGATTCAGTCACATCATGTTAGAGAGAAATACTTAAAGGACAAGTGTGCAGGATCTAGCAGTGTAGTAGCTAATTACAATGCCTTCGCCTCACCCTCCTGTTCCGAGTCCATTGGAGAAACTACAGTGGCAGCGAAACTTGCAAAAAACACAAAAGACCCTATCTAGAGCCAGTGTTAGGTTGGTCCATTCTGGACAATATGTCTTGCTCCACTGTCTTTGTTTTCATTGTGAGGTCCTGTGTATCCCCTGACTTTGTGATACTGTCAATTTCTTCATTTCCTCTGTAGCCTGATCCCTCACTCCAGTCAGACTTTTAAAGCCACTGGGTCTATACATTGATCCCCAGTGTCTTGCTCCTGGCAGCTCTGTACTTTATCTACACGTCTAACTGACATTCCCTTATTGCAGCATCTTCTTATATGATGCCATCCCATAAATTAGCTGAGATGAGTGAAGACTCTGGGGAAAAGCAACATTTTCTCTGCATTATATTGCCAATTAAATACCCTTCTGTTCCTTAACCTTTCATGACCCATCGCTGTTTTCCAAATACAAAAATGAGATTTATACTGTAGCTCCCCTGAGCCCCCGAGCATTATAACTCCAACGTCAATAAATACCATGTGTTTTTGATGATCATTAAGCTGTTGTGCTTGGCTTGCAGTTATGATGTAGACTTCCAGCCACACATTGACCCTCTCTTCCTTTACGTTCGATCCACACAGAGATGTCTGTATTCTGTATGTACAGAACTGTAACTCTCTAAAGCTCTGAAGCCAATGACAAATGGAATCAATTAAGTAAATCCTGCATGGCCTATTCCTCACTCAGACTAAGATACCTTTCCACCCTACAGTCTGAAACTGTGCAAGAAGAGGCCATGTTTCTCAGCCTGTTACTCCATCTTCCGCCTTCTCTCCGCTCTAGTAATGCATAGGGCCACGGCAGAGTCCACATTTGTCCTCATTAGTGATAAAATGTCAGGTTTTATTCCCTTCTCCTTTACACTTCTGAATGTAACCATTTACTGTCATTGAAGCTCAACGTGCTACATGTTCATCCAGCATTTAAAAGTCACATATATCCCCACAGATTGCCCTTCTACAAACATGGTTAGTCTGTGCCACTCTTTATGGTTTCCCTGGTGACCCAATATGACCTTCTTGGTCTTGGACCATCTTTTTGATAGCTAATCAAAGTCATGGCTTAATCGTGAGGTCCATTTGTTAGAAGATTTCTTTACATGTGAGCTACTGTATATCCTTCTTTCAGCCGTTGCTAAGGAAATTGTTTTGATCATTAGCTAACCCCACTCCCTTTAGTTACTGTTGCTATGCCATTATGCACATGTGCAGTTTACAATGAAAGCAGTGGCAGATTATGTCTTGAAACTTGAAGTAATATTTGAAATAAGGGATCCTTGAATTCAAACAGAGTTTAATTTCTGTTCAGTGACAGTTGATTGTTTTATAATTTGGTTAAAAATGTAGTCTCCAGCTTATTTTTTTAATGTTTCAAACCGGCTCATCTTAAAACAAGAACCCTGAAAAGAGAAAACTTGATCACTACATACAAAATATTGTGCTAAAATACTGAGGCTAAAGCCCTGCAAAAAGTCAGCATCCTCACCACTTGAGTTGACCATATTTTCCTCCAAACCGGGGCCCTTAAAAGGGTATTGCAGGTTCATGCACACACATGTTAGTGCTTACGCACACACCATAGGGGTTTTCATTAGGAATATTTCAGCACATAACACCTTTCAACACCATGGACCCCATGAACACAGCAGTTTTGTTGCCGGGTACTTTACGAAGGAGTAGCCTCCTGGATTTCTTTAGAAAAGACAGATGTTCTCTTCGGCATGACACTTAATCGTTACCATTCTGACAGTTTCTGTCAGAAAGAAAGCTTCATAGTCTATGATGGCTGCCTGTGACTCATGAGTTAACTAACACACTGCGTAGTCCAAATCTTAAACTTTTGCTGTTGTATTGTGGAAAGGCTAAAAAAAGAAACCACCATCCAAACTCTTACAGAGTATCTCTGTATCCTTAGAGACCTAGTTATGGTTGCTAAGCTCTGTGTCACTGTGTGCATGAGGGGTTTAGCAAATGGGTCAATTAAGCGGGAATAGAGTTTATAATCATAGTTGTGTTTTCTCATTGTGATAGTTGCGTTCACACATGTTTTGTAAGACATCTCACAGCGCCATTTAGATATATATAATATTCTCATAAATGTTCCCTTTCTATTGTGCTGTCTCTATAAACTCAGAGAAGAGGAAAGCCAACATCCTGGACAACCTGAACAACACAAACGGGACCATAATCGGTGTCACCTGTTGCATCGTCCTCATCCTCCTCATCGTTTCTGTCATCGTCCAGATCAAGCAGCCACGTAAGAAGTACATCCTGCGGCGTGAGGACTTTGACCCCACCATGTTCCAAGAGGTCTTTGAGCCGCCTCACTACGAGCTGTGTACTTTACGGAGCGCCACCACAGCCGCAGCGGCCTCAGCAGACTTGGTCGACCTGGCAGAAGACTTTGAGAACTACCATGCCCTTCGTCGTGCCTCCTCGCGTTGTGTCCACGATCACCACTGTGGCTCCTCCTCCAACCCAGGCTCTGCCCACATATCCCAATTGTCCCTGAGTGGACGAGGAAGCCGTGGCAATTTGAGTGCTCGAGACGCCACGGCCGCCACTCTGCTCACAGACCTTCCACAGCCACCCATGTCAGTGCGGCCATTGCTGCCGGCCACTGGAAACCGAAGGAGCATCTTGGTCATGAAGCACAGCTACTCGCAAGAGGCAGCGGACAATGGATGTGACCTGGACGACGACCTGGAAGAAGTTCCCACCACCAGCCACCGGCTTTCACGCCACGAAAAGGCAGTACAGCGGTCAGTATCCATAGATTTCTGATGAGGAAAGAACAACAATCCTAGAGTTAACTATGGGGATGTTTGGAATGTGTGTAGGATACTTACCATTATTTTTGTTTTCCTCTTATTTTAGCTTTGTTCTTCCTCTTCCTCTCATTATTTTTTTAGGATTATGATAAGCTTTTTTTTTTTTTTTGCATTGATCCTTGTTCTTTCTCCCCTTTCTTTCATTAAAAATGTTTTGAATTTGGGCTAAATTATGATTATGACAAATTTGCCCCCTCTTTGCATGCTCATCCTTCAACATGTCAAGCGCCCCCTGTCTAGTTTTCCCTCAAGTGATTCATAGCTTACGTCTTTAAACTCTAAACTGTTCTTTGAGGTTTGTCAGAACTCTTTAAGAAAATACAGACCTCCTTTTAGAAGATATTAATTCTGTAATCAGTCCACTTTTGACTGTTAACACAAGGGCTTTAATCTGTGCCTCATAGAGATGACTAACTTTATTGACGCTGAATGCAAATTATTATAAAATATGCATTTCTATTCCTAACTGTGAAAATATATGACTTATATTCTATATAGCTAAACATTTTGGCATGATCAAGATTTTCTATAAGAAAAAAAAAAAATAAGTATTTCATTGTGTACTTGCACCCTGACTGCTTGATGCTATCTGTTTACAAAAACACTATGTGAAGGTATCAGAGTACATTTTTGGAGAAAATACTTTGAACGTACAACCTTCTTCTGCATGCACTTTCTATGTGCGCCTACCAGAGTGTTCTTGACTGTTTGTTAATTTTCTACAAGTCTGCATGCAAGGCTCCCAGAGACTAGCGAAGCACTAACGAAGTTTTTTGCTGTTATGTAGCATATCATGCATTCTGACCTCACTATGCAAAACGAGTTTGATATTAAATGAAAGAGCCATGACATTTCAGGTTCTGCCTCATTGGCTCTTTGAGCAAACATGAATCAGAGTACAACACAACTAGGGTCTAAGAGACAATCTCAAGGTAAGCACCCTTATCCAACAATCAACGTCTTTATATGTTGTTCTGTAGTCATCATTTGCCCAGTCAGTATATACTGTTATTTTTTCCTTTTCTGTGATTTTTGCGCAGGTTTATATTTAATTTTTTTATGTTTTTTATTTGTTCATTTTTCACCAAGATGGTTTTCTTGCTTGCGGCCATCTTGCCCTCCTAGTGAGTTTGTTTGAAGTCTTTGTGATGCTCAAGTTGACTGTATGTCCTCCCAAGGTCATACATTGTGTCCCTCAGTGGATATTCATTAGCATGGACTTTTTCAATCATCTTTATTTGAAGCTGTTATCAAATAATATGTCTAACCTCTGCACTTTTCTCTTGCCTACAGCACATAATTTATATCGGTCATCTAAAGACACTTGTTAAGTCCACATAAAAGCACAAATTTGAAAGCAGACACAACCCCGCATTTTCATTAAATGACATCAGTGGGGTTTTTTGCACACACTAAAGAAAGCACATTTAGATCATTTAAATATCTTATTCATCTCTTTGTAATTTACAAATGTTTACTGATCACACACTCATACAGAATTCGTCCGTAGTTTTGCATGATTTATGTCACTTGTAATTGATTTTGTGTTTGGTTAATTGTGAAGCATAGCCTTTATGCCTGTGTGTAATAGTTCATGTGTATGCTCCACGACTGTGCTTTCATGAGGTTGCAATAGGCACAAACAAAATCCCAGTAAAATAAAAAGTTAGATGAATGAATTTGAGGTGTTAATAACTGAACTTGCTCATTAAAAAGTTACATTTAAGAGAAATTCAATGCAGAGCTCTAGAAGTTCGTGCTTGCAGCGTTAGGTTTGCATATACTGGAGCAGTCACATAAAGTGCTACCCATTGTTTTGTCTTTTAGTGTGAAAAATGTGCTGTCCTGTTGTGTGTGTGTGTGTGTGTCTGCTTATGTTCTACATTATGTTGCATTGTCTCCATCATGTAGACTTCTTGAGAATAGTGCAATCCTGGATCAGTACGAACGGGCCTCACTGACATATGAAAAGGCGGAGCGGAGATTTACACCAGCATGATGCTGATGCTGATGATGAAGGGACACTTTGACGAAAGGATACTGAATATGTGTAATGTGAAATCATGTGCAAAGATGAACACTAAGGACTAGATGAAAATACTTTAGCTGCAATGCTGTGGAGCGATTTTGAAGTTTTGGAAATCAGTCAGCACTGTGCGTATTGTAGTCAATCCAGATTTTTTTTGTCTAGCTGGAAAGAAATGGACCTTTAGAATGAAACATGAAAACATGATTATTCATTATTAAACTTTAAATTTGGGATGTTAGTCAGAAACATATCTTCCACTGTCATAGATTCCTCATTGAAAATGTGATCAAACATCTTTAAATTAAGTTTTGAGCATGTATTTTTCAAATTAGTAGCCATATTATTTCAATAGCAAATTATAAAAGCTTGCAGTTTGACAAAACTAGGAAGATTTTTTTTTATTACTGAAAATTGGAACTAAACTCAATTAATTACTAACCTAATTAAATCTAATGCTGGAATAACCAGAAGCAGTTTAATTTGGATAATAAATCAAGGCCGAGTTGAATGGCTTGTGCATGCTTCTTTTATATCCATTAAAGCATTAACATACTAACATTAAACTATAAAAAGCCCCCATCTACTAATACATAAGTCATATGGACATAAGAAGTGGTAAAAAAAAAAAAAAAAAAAAAAAAGCATCTTCACTATAATTAATTGCATTGCATGTTGTTGCTTAGCTAAATCATTAGGTTAAGAGAATTACACAGATGAATTTCACCAGTTTCTTTTTAACACAAACTCCCTTTTAAATATATTGACTAACTTTTTCACAGGCTTTTTATTTTAAGAGGGTTTTTTTTTGGCAAACATATTTACTTCAAGTCTGTTTGTCTTTAACTCTATTCTACTGTAGGAGCTTAATATCTTTGTATTAAAACAGATTTTTTACTAGGGCAAATTGAAACGATGACAGTTTTTACAGTTATTCCAATTATATTTCAGGGCTGATTTTACTGATGCTTTGTAAAATAAATAACAATAAAGCTTCACCTTTTTTCTTTGTTTTATTGGCTTTTGGTCCGTAGTTCCTAATGTGTCATCAGACTGTCAGCTATCCATGTCTTACAATCATATGTTTTTAGATGTTGGTTTATTTGTTGTGGCTGATTTGCTTGAGAGGGAGACCAGACCCAAACCACCGAAACAGGACAATAAAACGAGTCCTAGACGGTTCAAATAATCCCAGGTAATCACAGGTATCTGACAGACAAGTTAATTGACTTTTTGTGTTTGTCCTGATGAGATTAACCCCATATATACTGCAGAAGGGACAGGATCAACCTCAAACAACACTCACTGCTGGCAGGCTGGTTTTGTAGAGAAAAAAAAACAACCTGCATCATGTGGAAAGTGAGAAGAGCAGATCAGCTGTGAGCACAATGACATAAACATACAATTCACACACATAATGCATAGGATGTCTTTTTTTCTTACGCTCTGTCATTGTCCAAGTACTTATTTTCTTCTTACTGTGTCAATTTGTTATGGTATTTGCCATCTTTGTGTACATTATTTTCTGTATTCGGTGTCATGTATGTATTATTTACATCCATGCTCTCCACTCTCTTTTTCCTCCATATTTGCACATCATACACACACCCATATTTCTGCATTTACTGAATAAAATGTTTCTTTTCTATACATACATTGTGCCGATGTCTGTGTGTTGTCTCTCTGCTTTACAATAGTGCCAACACCTCTGTTATAGATATTTCTAAAGTGCTCTCATACATAATCTCTCTTTTCTTCTCTCTCTTTCTCTCTCTCTCTCTCTCTCTCGAACACACACACACACAAGTTACACTCATCTGCCAGTATATAGATAGAGGCAGTCACTAGTTAAGTAAGTCTGAACCATTTCGATCACAAGCAGCCCAGGCAGCAGATGAGAAAACGGAAGGCCCAGAACAGAATTAAAGTAATAGTGTTTTTATTTCTCTGCAGATACATCAGACAGATGCATCATTCCTCTGCATCTTGCCAAGTCTGACAGCATTCGGAGCTAAGGTTTCTCTCCCTTACATCTTGAGTGAACTGTTGCCCTGAGCAACTTTACCAACGTAGAGTGTTGTGATGAGAAAATTAAATTAAAAAAAAGGTTTGTGATGTATGCAGTTTTTCTTCTTTGCTTCGGACCGCAGCGGTGCATTTTCCCTACCTGTGCTCTATTACTGGCTAGGATTGACGAGCCATGGAACACTGATTATCGCAGATATGGGACTGAAACTTTGTTTTTTTTGAAAAATAGAGTACCTTTAATGTAAAGTTGTTAATGGAGAAAAAAAAAAAACAAAATCAGGTTTTTTAAATCATTTTCATGTAACCATCAAAATATGAAATTGCATATTTCACATTATATTTCTTATTTTGATGTCTTTACAGTATCAGGTTGTTTTTATATCCAAACAATTACAGATAGCCTTGTTGAGAAGACAAAACAAAAAAAGAAAGTTTGAAATAAAGTGATGTTAAACTTAATAAATAGGTGCATATACATGATTCTACTGACCCATCAACTAACCTTTATTTATTCCCACTCTCACTGATGTCTGAACATTCTCTTTGTCATTGCATTGTGGTGTTTTTTTTAACCCGTTTGCATATTTATTTGATAAAACATTAAGAAAAATGCTGGACAGATGTTTTCAATAAACTTATGTTTACGGATTTTATTGTGATGATTTATTTTGTCAGTAACATTCATTTTATTCTATTCTGGTCAGGGTTGTGCAGTACCTACTGTACCATTGAGGATATTGAGGTCAGGGTCAATATGTATTTTTCAGCTTGGGAGAACTTGTCAGTAATTCGTAAACACAGGATGGATGTTTTGAATGCATATCCCATTATTTTTAGACTAAGATTAGACTTTATTGAGTGTACTTTTAGTCTAAATGTGACTACTTTTAGGCCAGCAAACAAATCACGAAATAAAGGATTTAGTATTGACTCATCAGAGTCCGTAGTGAGGTGGAGAATGCTGTGAAAGCACCATTTAGACATTTGTGTTGGGAAATAAAACAGAAAATATAACAGAAAGTGTAAAAAATATAACTGTTTTGGTTCATTAGCATTGCTCTCCACTTAATGCAACCTGTCACACCAAACAGCAGACAATCAAAGTTAGCAGCTGGTGAACATAGTGGAGCATATAGCGGCTTAAGATTCAGATATTTCCCTCAGAAATTGGTGGAAACCAAAAGAACAATGTCAGGATATGTCAGTGTTGCACTCACAGCTTGTTTCCACTGCCTCCAGGTGGCAAAAGAAATATTAGAAAACAATGCAGAGACTTTCATTTTGAGTGGCCCATGACCTCAGTATGTGTACAATCCTGGCTATGGCCCTGAGTCTAAATCTGCCCTAATCAGAAAAAACATAGTCAATAAAAATGTCTTCCATGTCCATCCGGTTGTCATTGTGCAAACAGCTCCCTTAAGAAAAACATGATTGTTTCTTTAACAAAAAAAAAACAACCTAAGTTTAAATATCGTTCACCGTTTCAATGTTACTAACAACTATTAATTATACCATAAGTGTATTCTTACCTGCAGTGTGTGAACTCTTTTTCTGATCTGCACTTAATAACATTGTGCTTGCCCTGACCACTGCCAGTAGCCAATGGTGAGGGCAAGAATAGCAGCATCTTTATTAAAGTGAATTAGTGATGAATCACCCTCATGTAGCTATAAATCATAAATCAACAGTAGTCCAAGTTTACGCACAATCCATGACGATGAAGATATAGAAAAATAGAAATCCATGGCAAAAAATAGCAGACTGTCAGTATTTTAGAGAGATATCTTATTGTTATCTGTAGTTCTCACCCTGTTTACCTGTCCGTGAAGGTGTGTAGGCTGTTAAATAAAGGTGCCACATTAAAAACTCAGCCTCCCATGAATCCTAGGAACGGTCTGTGACGTCAAAAGTGTGCGCCTCCGGAATACAAATACCACGATTGCTTTGCCACAGATCACCCCTGTAGCCTAGTGTAAGTCGTTTATCCTGTCACTTTTACATTATTAGAGCCTCTGCTAGGTACAGTCTCACAGCGTTAGCTGTTGGCTGTTAGAGATCACAGCTCACCTTGCTGGCTGTGCTGTGCATGTAACCAGAGTTTAAGCTAACTCCCAGAGGACGCAACCATGGCTTATACGCAGATATTGAGGGCTCTGCACCGGAATCTGCAGCAGACAGCCGCACAGTACTCCGTGCAGAAATGTCTGCTCGTCCACACACACAGGACAGCGTCAACAGTGTCGAGACTGACCTTCCACAGAGGAGGCGAGGCTCCTTCCTCTGTTGTCCCAGTGCTGAGCTGCTTCCCTCGGGCACAGAGGCGGCGGGGTATCTGGCTGGACTCTGCGGTCAGAAATAAAAGCAGCCCCGAAGAGAGAGACAGGTCAGTTTCCAGGTACCAGAGTGGGAGCCCAAAGCCTTCAGCTGCACAAAAAGGTCAGTAAGGCCCTCTTATAGGCTGGAGGCGTGCACTGTCTAGTGTACTCTCATTTAAGCACGCTAAATTGCATTATTATATAGTTTCCACAGTATACACAAAATAATCAGTGACAGTGTTAACAGTGGGTCCTGGTGGAGTTTTCCATATGCACAGGAGGGTAGGCATGATTTCCTGTGCAGCAGCAGTTTTTATAAGTGATTATTATAGTATTTTATGGACTAATTAAAAACTATAGTCAGTTTATTTTATGTATTCCCTCAGTGAATGTATAAACAGTATCTGAGTCCAATGCATTGTCTTACAGTTGTCTGTCTGGTCCAAGAGCCAATCAGGCAACATTTATTTACTGAATTAAGCAAGCACAAGTTTTCATTTGTGAGACTTGAACCAGCAAATGTTTGGTACATTTACTTGATAAAGTATTAAACTGTTACAGTTGACTGATTAAACCCCCCCACCCTACATATCTTCCAGTGAAAGAAGCTGGCAGAGACTTCACCTACTTGATAGTCGTCCTCATCGGGCTTGGAGTGACGGGTGACTACAACCTCAAGATTTCAAGAGTTTCCATCACAAATGAACAGATTTATTATCTCAGTTCAAGTCAAATAATGGATTTTGATTTTTGTGTGTGTTTGTGTGTGTGTGTGTGTGTGTGTGTGTGTGTGTGTGTGTGTGTGTGTGTGTGTGTGTGTGTGTGTGTTTGTTTGTTTCAGGTGGGCTATTATATGTGGTGTTCCAGGAGCTGTTTTCTTCCTCAAGTCCAAATAAAATCTACGGGAAGGCTTTCAACAAAGTGAGGTTAGACCCAGAGGTAAGACAGAGATCACAGGATGCTGAGGTCTAAGACACAGTATCTCTCTTTTTAACAGTTCAGTAACCTAAAGATAACATCTTCTCCATCAGAACACAACTACATTGTGTCAGTCAGCTCCTCTTGTAATGTAACATTTTGTTTATTGAAAATCTAGGTAATTGGTGCATTTGGGGAGCCGATCAAGTGTTATGGGGAGACTACCCGTCGAGGAAGGAGGCAGCAAGTCAGGTAGGGATTTTGTTACTCAAGTAAGCTGTTGATTATTAGTACACAAGGTCATAAATAGGTTGCACCTTTCTGTCCAGTTACTTTTTTTTCTATTGAGATTGTAAAAAAAACCAGCACCGTTATACAAGAGTAAGCGTCTGTGTGGTGGCAGTGTTTTGATGCTATGTGTGTTTGTGTGTTTGTGTGTGTTTCCAGTCACATGGAGTACCTGAAGGACGGACTGAAGCATATGCAGCTTAAGTTTTACATCGAAGGCTCTGAGCCCGGCCGCAAAGGAACTGTACATTCAGAGTCGAAAGAGGTTAGTGTTTTCAGAAGTGTGACATACCAAAGCAGTATTGTTTGTGTTTTAGCTCAATCCCGATATTTAAGAATGGAAAGTATCCAGAAGTAATTTCACATGTGACAGCAGAAAGTTGATAAACAGAAGTGATAATTAGACAGTAAATTTTAAATCTTTTTACCAATGTCTGCCAAATAGAGACACTGTTAACTTCTTGTTGCTGCGTTGCTTTACAGGATCCTGAAACTGGAAAATATGAGTTTCGTTACATATTTGTGGACGTAGACACCTACCCAAGACGGACCATCATTGTGGAAGACAACCGATAAGAAAGACAGTGGACTCACTCAGAGGTGTCACTTTGATGGAAAAGCATTGTGTTTGTGTTATTGGACAAATAGCTGAAGATGTACTGTACATTTACTATTCAAAGCTGTTATGTTAAACATCAACAGTATTGTAATTGGCAGGATTTGGTGAAGAGCTTTGTAGTCATTTTCACAGAAAATGATCATTGACTCTTATGTGTTATGTTTTATAAATCAAACACATGTGGTTTAAATAGTTTTTCATTAAAAGACTAAAGGGAAACCTCCATTTTGAAATAACTTGCAATCAAAGATGCTTTTTAATTGTAATAAAAAATGTTTGTTCGTCATGTTGACAGGAACAGACATACGACAAAAAATGTTGTTCTCTTATTTCTGAGTGTTGGGCTGAATGGATGTCATGATGATTGACCTTTCACCTTCATTGCATTGGGTGTATTTTAACAGAAGTTTTTTCCTTTAAAAAATCGAAATACTTTAAAATACTTTGTCAAGTTTGTCTTTTCTGCTTAGAAATTAGCTCAGTTACATACACTTCCTATATATTCTGATAGCTCTACTTTTCTTTTCACTGTACATATTTAATGCAGTCTTTGTTTACTGTATTATTCTGTATTTGGTTGTCTTTGAAACAGCAGCTTGCATTTTAAAACAATGACCACTAGATGGAGGCAAAGAGTCAAGCGGTGGGAACAACCTGATATGACCTTTTTAGACTGTGTAATTTCTCATTCAGTTACATTTTCATTAGCATTTAAAATGGTGTTTTTTGAATAGTTCAATAGATTTTTAAAAGTAGACGGATTTTAAAACGACATTAACTGAACATCTGGTCTTAAACAATGAGAAATAATAGGAATATTTTTGCTTGTTCAGTATATTTTCCATACGTTGGTACATGTTTAATATAAGGAAAATGTTAATGAAAATATTCTATGGTCCCACTTTTCCCCTTTTGTGACACGAACCTATGCTACCTTACATGACCCTCGGAAATATGTACATTTATGTAATCAATGAAACATCCCTAGCAATAATCCGGGAAAGGTCATTTTTAGTCACTCTTTGTAACAAAGCTGCTGCTGTCTCTGCTGAGATGTGAGAACTATTTTTTAAAACATTTGTACATTGGTCCTGTTTTTTGTTTTGTTTTGTTTTTGCTATAAATAAAAACACAAACTATAAACCTTCCTAAAATTGACTTTTCTCATCCCCTTAAATTTTATAGCAATACAAGATAGCTCGGGCTCTGCTCGACTCTAATAAATCAGTAACCAAAGCGCCATTTCCGCATATAATTTCTGACAGTGACAGCAGCACTTGAACGTAAAACAAACTAAGCGATTAAAGATTACGTCCGTGTTCAGGGGGAGCGGTTTACGAGAAGCAGTGAAGGCAACAGTCCCGTGAACGCCGCCCACTGTGAAACCAAAGGCTGTATTGAACGCAAAGGGGATGAGCTAAATCATCCAACGCTAACTAAAACTCTCTAAGACTAGTTTAGTTGTCTCCTCAGTGTCAGGTTAACGGGCAGCTTACCTAGCTAGTGACCTCGTATATTAATACCAAGACGGTATGCTCTCAAAAAAGCCCAATTTCAGTGGTTGTTTATTTCGTGGCGTGGGTAAATAGAGTAGTTGCTGTTGTTGTTGTGGCCTGCTACACGATAGCTTAGCTAAAACTAGCTGTAGCGTCAGCTGGTTCCTGGAGCTTTATTTCGGCATAACATCACCGAAACGACAAAAAAGGGAAATGGCACACCTTTAACAAAACAAAGTAAGTTCAAGATTCCTTGTGTTCTTGTGTTTAGGTTTCGCTAAGTTTGGTAGCTAACGTTAAGTAAACGGGAGGAGCTGTCGTGTAAACTTCCCATCTGGTTTAAGTTATAGAAAGTACTTGAGCGTTTAACTCAACCCTAACTTAAGTGGTGAGATGCTCTGAGCTTCTGGGTCTATAAATGCGAGTTAATGTTCAGTTATTATAATTGATTAAGTGAAGTAATGTATTGATCAAAAAAACTATTAAAAATTGTTACTGTTTTCAGGGCAAGTGGTGGTTTTGGACAGGGATCAGCAAGGTGTCCCCCAGCTATGAGAGCCTCTAAACAGTGATTGACATCTACAAAAATGGAGCTGTACTGGTACATGTGAGTATAACTTTCTTTTTTGATAAAAATGTTTACAAGTGATGCGTAAAGCTGACATTTTGTGTCCAACCCCCCCCCTTCATGTTGTCCCTTTCCTCTTTCCTTTACAGAGTTGTTATCATATTTATCATCATCAAGATATTCTTCTATGTGTGCTGGTACCGATCAAGACAAAGGCAGCTGGCAGCATACCTGAGCAACCCACGCAATGCTCAAATAGTCATTGTTGGAGGAAGGGCCTACCTTCATCAGATGTGTGAGAGGCAGAGTGTAAGTGCAGACCCCCACGCAAACACCAACTCGTCCTACATTTGAAACTCATAATCTAGCTGTCGACCGCTGAAGTGGTTTTGCGCCCCCAGGATATGTCCTTATTATGGCGGAGGTACACAAAGGTTCAAAGGTTTTGGCATTAAAGAGAATCTCTTTATGTAGGCTGTGAGACTTGAGTAGGGTACATTGAATAAAAAGAGTGAGCATTATAGCTGTAATCTTGGTGCCTTGCCATTTTGAATGAAGAATATGGCACCTTAGTGTACATCCAAAGCACATTTCACTTAAGGGAGTACCCTGCTTTTGTAAAGACCAACGTGAACTTACTACAGACCCCAATATCCCAGCATATTGGAAAAAATGCCACAGAAAGGAGTGAGGGAGCAACTATAGTTGTCTGTTGGAGCATTGACAGTCTCTAGGAGCACATGTATGGCCCTTTTGAGAGTTAATGTGTGGGTATCTGTGTTGTAACCAGGCTAGCGACTCTGTGGGGGGAGTATCAATATATAGCCTCAAGGAGTGTCAACATACATAATAGACCTCTCGAAGTATTTCCTAATTTGTCACAGTTAGCGAGAGCCCAGAGAGTTCAGCTGAACCAAACCTAGATGACACATACAAGCTAACTTTGAGCAGTAAAGGCAGTTTTTTAAACAAAGTATGAATTTTGTTAAAAATAAGCTTTATTAATATCATAAGCCTACAAGAATCTCGGTGATTATGTGTATAGTAAAAAAATCACTACATTTTCTAGTGTGTAGTTCCTCTTCGTGGCTTTAGCTTGGTTTGGCCCAGCAGAAGCACACTGAAAGCGGTTTGTTGTAAAGTGAAGATTGGTTTCTATTCAGTTTGCAGGCCTGGAGTAAGAAAAAGTTAAATAAGGTCACAGTTACGTGCATTTATGCAGAGGAGTTGTCTGGTCTCTTAAGAGTGCTTGTGGTTTTCAGTCGGTCACTTTCACTTTGAATACAATGACTAGACAGGCTACATTTCCCTCTCGGTGACACAGTGAATGAGTGTGTGGATGTGCATTAATAGGTACATGCTTCTGGTTTGCATGCACTTGTGTGCTTACATTCTTCTGTTACGTTCATTTGACCTTGTTGACGTCAGGGGTCTGGCAGGTTACAGCTTTGAAATTTCTTCGGTTAGAAAGTAACAGCGAGTGTGGGACTGGGCCATTTTTTTAACACGTTTGTAAAATTTCAACCATCCATGTGAGATTTTTTTTGTGCAAATATCATCAGTAAAGACACAAGACAGCAAGACAAGAGTAGACTGATTTACTGCAATGCATTCCCCGTTTTTGAAGGTCTTGTTATTCCCCTATATTTCAAAAGGTCACATTTTCAGCCACTGATATTTTTGTACTGTAATTTTTCTTACTGTTACTATCTCTTGTCCCATGGAAATCATAAGTTATATGTGAGAAAAAAGAGAGTCTCTTCTAATGTGTGAGTAATTTGCTTGAGATTGTGTGTTAATTTATGTGGTTTGTCTGGACTGTCCTTAAGGAGTCATTTGATCACTGGCAATGGCCTTCATAGTTGTCTTTTTGTTCGTTTTGTAACTTCTAAGATTGTGCTGACGCATGCTTTTGTATATTTTAAAATTGGCTGCAAAATCCCCTTCAGTCCTCCCTTCAAGTGCGAGTTGAATGTAGTTTTAGTTGGGTTTTCACTGATATGTTTGGAATAGTAATGCCTTTCCTTAACATCAGTTTGTATGAAGTCTTTTCTGTGGTACAGGTTTAGACCGTCACCATGCCCCCCCCCCGGTCTTTCTGCTTTACTGCCTCTCTAAAACACCTGGAAACAATCTCCATGATTCAGAACCTTCCTAAAATATCCTTCATGAATCATATGAAACGGGTTCCTCTGACGTTTTTCAAACTTACTTCTGTCTCTTGCCCACATAGTCCACTTCTTAGTAGTTATTGAAAAATGATTCATTTAAATGGAAGTCTGCACAAACTGCCCCAACCTTTGGGTTATCTTTCATTGTGGGAGTTAAGAGGCACAGACCATGATATTTTTAGCAGTGTTTGGAATATTTGTGTAACAGGAAATGCCCCAAAAATAAATAAATAAAATAAATGCTGCACTTGAAACTGAGAAATGCCTGGGCTTTTAGCCTTGGGTTTCCCCAGACCACTTACAGCATCCTGTGTGCTAGTCGAAATGTGCGTCTGATTCTAGAAAAAGTCAGAGATTACCATGTTTCATGTCTTGACAGACATGTATACTGGCTAATGATATGTTCAGTAACCACCTTTTACAAGTTTCTCTTTTCACTTCTGCTTCTTATGCCTCAAGTCCCTAATCTCTCCTTGTTCCGCATCACCGCTGTTTGCTCTACTTCCTCTCCTACATCCTCTCTTTTCTTCTTTTCCGTTTTTCTTCCTGCTCCTCTTCCTCTCCCTCTTGTTCCCTCTGCAGTCTCTGGTGTATAATGTTCCCTGTTTAGATTTTAATGGAATGTGCAGCAGGGAGGCCCCACGGTCATCCATAACCCCGCACCCTGAGCGTTTTCTGGAGAGACGCCAAGATGACTCGAGTCCTGGGCTTAAATGAATCAAACATAGTGGGGGTAAAAAAGTCTTGATGTAGTACTACTCGCTAACTTGGGCAATTTTTTCACGGGCTACCTGATAAGTGATTCCAGAAGAGCTATGAGGAAAAACTTTTGATACATGCTGGCCCAGGACAAAGGTGAAAGAATTGTATAGTTAGTTTATTATTAGGCTAAATCTTAATTTGTTTTGCTCTACTTCTTCTTCAGGCTTACAGAAATGAGATGTGGTCTTTTTTTTTTTTTTTTTTAATGCAGTCGTTCCCAAACTCCATGCCGCCAAGATGTGACCGATAACCGGCCATGGAACATTTGATCCAATTAGATTTGGTAAAAATGTGTTATGATAATGATGTAACTTTATAGACCATTCCAGGTTTTTTTTTTTGTGCTGTAATAACCTTGGACATGGCATGGTCTGTCTGTGCTGCACTTTTCCTCATCACTCTCCATCACGCCCACAACAACAGGATGGCATTTCTTAACTAATTAAGACATCAGTCTGCAAGGGCATCAGTCCCTCATCACTGGCCCTGCGTGTGCCTTCTTCCTGTTACTGTTGCAATTAGCTCGCAAACATCAGTAAGAACACAAAGAGTGTTCACAGTAGAGGAGATAAAAGAGCAAACACTTGTGATACTTTTAATAAATACTGAAACCTCAGACCTATTTAGAGCCTTACTGGTCATTTGATAAAACTGACTGTGGCTCTCCTTGTAGACTTTCTGTGTCTAAAGAGAATAGAATATATCTATTAAGAATATATATTAACACAGCCATAAGATTAGATAAGATGTACCTTTTATTGGTCCCCCTTAGGAGAAATTCAAATGGCCAAAGCCCAATGTAATATCCTCAACCACTCCCTGTTTATGTGATTCACCGGCAGACGTCTTGCTCCTGCGTTTTGTGTAAACGACTTCATGGGGGCTGACATGGTTCATCAGGTTCGGGGTGAAAATGTTCCATGCTGGTCACCCCGATTTTGGAAAACACAAGAGAAAAGAGGCAGCCCATCACACCTACAGTATATAGTAAAAATATTTGTCTTGCTGTGTGTTCAGTGGTGTTTGTACTTCAGTGTGTATAGACTTGCTAGGCCTGAAGCAAAGAGTTTAAAGAAATGCTCATTGGAGCCGCAAATGCATAAATTCAATTGTATTGATATAAACAGCAGCAGTGTCCTCTCTGGAGATGTGTGCAGTGAAACCAGCTGAGTTAGTATCTCAACAGTGTTAGCAGCAGTGTTGACATTTCTTTGTTGGCTTTAGCAAATAGATATGACGGCCTGTATCTTCTTGCTCACTGTGTGCACGTGTATGTGCATTTTTTGTTTAACTGTGTGTTTTCTTCCCTGTGTAGCAAACCTCTGTCTGGCCTAGTTGGTATGGTGTCCAGGATGACCTGTCAATAGAAGAGCCCTCCACAGCCCTGCCACCAGCTGCATCCTTCTCCCACTTGGACATGCCACCACCATATGAGGCAGTCTCTGGAGGTAGCGCACACACACTCTTAAAAACAGCACTGCACCATGCGTCTGCTGCTTCCTCATTCACCAAGCTGATCAAAAGCTGAACCAGGACGATTGCTTCATTCTTATTTTTTTCCCCCCCTCCTATTTCTTCATTCATAATTGCTCTGTTCACAGCACCCAGTAAAGTAAAGCCAGATTTATGCTTGATGCAAGGAGTTAACAAGTTGTAGATGCCTACAGTGTAGGTTTTGATTAATAGTTCAGTGATTTAAATAATATTCCCCACTGTGTTTACATTGTTTCATTCACATTGTGTTACGAGCAATAGTGGCAAAGTCTCTGCCTTGTTTCATTACTGAAAATTCCTGTGCGGTCACCGTATTTACATAGTTGGACTAGAAGATGGCTTTGCTAGATGTGCGTTACCCAAAAGGAGAACCTAACTGATCAGTTTTTGTTTTTTTTCAACCTGTGTCATGCTGTAATCACTCTGGACAATCTGTACTGGCATTAATAACTTGTAGGTGAAAACACCTCGGCAGCCTCACAGTTCTCGCATTCCCCCTGTGGTCTCTCCATAGCCCCGACATGTAGTTACATTTTTTTTTTAAGAGCCGCACATCGGGTGTGGCATAGCCTACAGCGTAACTGAGCCTAAGCATGTTGCCACCATGGGGACAGCATAACCCCTAAACAGAGAAGTTCACAGTCTAGTACTATTCTAGATCGCAGTATTGTCTATCTATTGTCTTCCGATTTAAAATGAGCTCACACACAGAGTACTCGGTTTGCTTTGAAAAGACAAAGGTCTCAGTAACTTAATCTTACTGAAACCAACAGCTTCAAGGTTTTCCTTGATGCCAGACAGTGCCTTGATGTATGCTGCTCAAGTGTCAGTTCAGGCTACAGTAACTCACTTCTGTTGTCTGTTTTTAGCTGGGCTGCCAGAAGTAATGCTGGTAAAGGAAAAAAAACTAACTCTTTCCACTAGGAGGCTATTTCTCCCACTAAATTAAATTTTTTAAAAAAAGAGAGGCTCATGTTCTCCGCACTGTATAAATATACGGGAACCGGAGCTTTGTGGGGCAGTCAGATCTTTACCACTTGTTGAGTTTCCTTATTCTACATTTTCCTCCCATTGACATCAGATGCTCTATATATTTATTGAGGGAAAAAAATTAATTTTATTATTATTTTTTTGGAATACATCTTCTGATTAAATGTTGTTTTTAATTGCGCTGCATCTCTCCCACTGGTAAAAAACTAACTCTTTCCTAGAGGCTCATGTTTCCGCAACTACCGGACTTGCAGGATCTTTACCACTTGTTGAGTTCCTTATTCTACATTCCCCCCCCCCCATGCTACCCTTTTGTACTTTTTACGCCTCCGCACCAGCGATAGCCCTGGCAGGAGGCATGATATTTTGGATGGTCCTTAAATCTGTACATTACATAGTCTAACTTATTTGTCTTTCACATGACTAACTACAGATGTGTTTTTTTTTTCGTCATTGTAAGTTGAAGGAGGTGAAAGCCAGCCATGCCAGTTGTTATAATCTTTGTATCAGGTTTCAGAATCTCCTCTTTTGCAAATGGAACCTCATTTGTGCTCCTTCAGTCTGACAGCAGGATGTGGTTATAGAAGGTGTAAGAGGTGACATTTCAGCACTAATTGTATTACTTGATGTGGCTGCCTCTTTGTCGCCCCCATATATGATCTTTTTCCTATCAAAGTTACAAGATGAGAGATACCTGGTGCTATCATGGAAATGTTTGAATTACACTAATGCATGAATGTACATGGATTACTGTCGGTAGGTCATGCAGCCTTTCTTGATGCGTCTGAGGAAGCCATATTGCTTTCAAGTGTTTTTTGTCAGAGAGAGAGAGAGAGAGAGAGATGCAAAGGTGGTTATATGCAAGTGAAAAGAGAACACGTTTTATGAGAATACAGCAAACAAGGAAGCTGGTTGAGTACAGTGTAAGGGGACAACAAGAAAAAGTTGCAAAGAAGGAAGTTTTTTTGATGACAGTTACGGTTTGGTGACTCTACTTCTCTGAGGGTCAGTCTTCTCTGACAATGTTTTTGTCTGGGTTTTCCGAGATTGTAACAAAGTCTTTCCCACATCCTAAAAGTCACTTTCTATCACCGAATTTTCCTCCCGTGTCTCTCACATGTAGGATTTATTTTTATCGATGTCTTTCCCCCGTCTTCCTCTGCACGGCTTGTCATGTGAATTAACACACACTTGCCATTTGCTGATGCAGCTCAGGGAGCGTTTGTTTTGATGCAATGGACCTCTTCACAACACAGCAGAATCATTGTCACATAAAAATGAAATGTCAGACGTTATTCAAGATCTTATTTTGACTGTGACTGTGCAGCCTGAATGTTGAAGCTGATTTGACCTACTGCTTATATTTATTTAGACAGCTGATCGGCTGGTTGATGTGTTTTTCTCCCTTTTCCTTTCAGAGGATGATCTGAAGCCCCCTCCCTACAGCGAGTGTGCTCATGGCGGTGAGGCTGCCACTCCCTGTCTCTCCCAGCAGACCATCCTCATTCCTGAGGGAGGAGACTCAGTTAGCGTAAATGAAGCCCCACCCCCTTACACACCGTCTCCCCCCACACAAGTCAGTCGGCAAGACGGCTCTGTAACCCACAGTGAGTCCCAGCCAGAGAGCAGGTCCACCTAATCAATCCCTGATGCCAGTTTGCCTTTTCCATGCACTGCCTTCCTATATCCAACCTCAGCAATCGTTGCCAGCCTAACTCTCATCACATGAGAGCAGATGTTTATTTGGGTGCAAGTGTGTGTGTGTGCGTGTGTCTGTCTGTGTGGGTATGTTTGTGCTTGCGTACTTGGTGGTTTTTAGAACTAAGTTGATTTTCTATTTTGTATTGTTAAAAAAAAAAAAAAAAGTGGTCATCTGATAAGTTTGGCAATGACATCAGCAAGCCTGTGTGCCTGAGTCAGGACCGCAGATCCTGCCTCCCAGCAAGGATGAGGATAATACCCTTGACCTCTAATCTCAAAGGGAGTCAGCGAGGTACAGATAAGCAGAGAGTAAGATACTTTCAAGAGTGTTCTGTTTTCTACATTTTCCTTCTCTGTCTGAGGCCACTTCTTTTCACAGATCTAAAACAACTGACGCATTCTAAAAGCTCAATTGGGGAAATGAGAAGTTTGTCGACAGCTTTTTGTTCTTGCTAATGTGATACATTATATGTTCGACATTACTTTGTCTGTGTGTGTTCTGAACCAAGGTTATTATAGTTAACTAAAACTAGGTGTGAAACAAGATTTTAGTTAACTGAAATAAAAACCTAAGACAAAAAACTAACTGTAACCATACTGTGCACTTACCAAACACAATGAAATAAAAATATACAGGGAATGTCTTTAGTTTTAGTCTTTGTCACTTTGGTCAAATTTTTCAGCACAACAAGCACGAGGAGGCATCAGTTTGAGTCAATTACATTCACAAAGTGTTAACTTTCAACTTCTTAAATCTTGTCCCTGACAAATATCCCCATATTATTATAATAAAATAATAAAATAAAACTAATAAAAATTAAAATGACTTGAGAAAAGCCACTGTGGAATCTAACTGAAATTAAACCGAATTGAAAACCAAAATGAAAAACTAAATAATACTAAAAACTAATGAAAAATGTAAAACCATAATTGAAGACAGTGACGCAGTAACAGTCTGTGAAATTCATAGTGTAGACAGTCTAATTAGATTTCCTGATAATTTGCTGCATACATGTGCATATTAAATAAATTGTGTTTCTACTTCTTCAAAGTGTTATTACTCTGAGCGCTTCATTAATGCTGCACATGTGTTATTTGAAGACAAAGTATGTCGACAGAGAACTATTTGATAATGAATGCTCTAATTGCTTTAAGTAATGACCTCATTAGCATAACTGCTTCTGTTTAATGTATCATGGTGATTGTTCTGACACATTTAGGCAATTCAAGTGCCTATTAGATCTGTGGATGGAAGTGAGCGAGGACAAGAAATAAATGAACACTTTATGGTAGTAGACGATATGTTTTCTGTTTGTTCACCTCTACTGCTGGGTTCTGTGTGTTGCTGCTCTACATTAGCACCTATATGCCAGAAAGCAAGAGTTCGTCTGTGCAAATAGTATGAACACGAGTTTTGTTATTTCTGTTGTGAAATTGGAAAAAAGGTCCTCAGAACTATGAGGGATAATGTATGCTTTATCCCATAACACACATGAACACACATTTTCTCACGTGGTAGATCCAGCTATAAGATAATCAGACTTGATGTTAGGAATTGTAATGTCTTGAATTGCTGAAAATATTGAATGAAACAAGTGCAACAATCCCAAATAAAAATACGCACAAGGCTGTGAGCTGAAGCTCAAAACATTTGATGAAGCTGAGCTGAACGCTGCATTTTATGCAGTTGCTAAAAAAAAATCATCAACAAAACTCAGTTATTTTTATTTTATTTCCTACATAATTGTTGCAATGAGACTAACCAAAAAATGTTTAACAACGGCTTCTGTTCCTTGTAATCTTCATGTCAATCTACCACAGGCTGGTAGAGGTTCGCAGATTTTGTGTATTTCTTCTGTTTGTATTTTCTGGTATAGTGTTGCTTGGGGGAAAGGTGATGACTGTGCTTTTTGCTTTTTGTATCACACATTTCAGATAATCCGGAAATAACACTGTAAGAAAATGCTCCCCAATGATCCACCTCCCGTGTTTGTTTCAACAACAATGTAATCTGTGTACAGTTTCTGAACATTACAAAACATGAGAGCAAGAAACACAAAATGAACGCTGTATAAATATATTCTGGGAAAGTGCGTGAAAGTGGATCTTCGTGCAGGATCAGAGTTTAAAATGTGTTTTAATGATAATCTTTTGTATTGTGATGACAAATCGTGGAGCATCTGTCACTGATGCCTTTAAAAAAAAAAAGTCTTTCCTGTGATTTTACAGAAGCTGCAGTGTACAGATCTGAACTCGTTCACTAACGTAGCAGCAGCACGATGAGGATCCAATACTTAAGTGTTACAGGCCTCTACTGTAATATACGTCCTGTCTGTTAACTTCATGTTCATTCCCATGATGGTTGACATCAGATCTCTCCAGTCAGTAGCTTTGTGATTTGAGGGGAATATAATTAATTTTATTATTATTTTTTCTGTTTTGGGGTAAATACATCTTCTGTATTAAACTGTTGTTTTTAATTTTGCTAGTGTTATTTTTGTGTGTGTGTGTGTGTGTGTGTGTGTGTGTGTGTGTGTGTGTGTGTGTGTGTGTGTGTGTGTGTACACACACACACTCTGGTTCAAATTTCACACACTGTAATTTCTGGGGGGGTGTATCCATTCTATTTTTAAGCGAATCAGTGGACAAAATGGACATTTCCCTCCAGAGCCACAGAACACCTTACGTAACGCTATATACTCTTTTCAAATGTATTGTATGAGGTTTTTGTACTACACGCAGTTCCAAGAACAATTTAAAAGAAGATAGATAAAAATAGACATACAGCTGAAGGCAAGGACAACAAAGATGGGTAAAAATGAACATTCAAGTGTAATGTACGTACAAACTATATAAATACAACAACGAAGACATAGAGTGGGTATATACGGTTTGTTATGGTTTGTATCCTTGCTGTTGTAGCAATGATACATTAGTGCAATGGTGTGGAGTACAATACCTATGTATAGAATGAATGTTGGTTTAAGATTTAAGATTTACTTTATTAATCCCCTTTTGGAGAAATTCTTCTTTTCTCTTTTATTTTATACACAAACCTTTTGTTTGAAAGCACAAGCCAAAACCTTAAGACACTCATGTATTCATGTCCCTGCATAACACGTTATTCTTCAAACATTTATTTTCATTTACTAATGACAAATTATCAATCATGAAATGTTTATTAAAATAATCTGAGATTACACTTGAAACTTAATCAAATCTTTAATCAAAGCAGCAACACCCATTTAAACGGGACAGGTAACTAAATTAAAAATGAGTTAGTGGAACTAGAAAGTGCGTACAGAGTACTGATACAGAACCAAAAGCCCTGCCAAAATAATGGAAAAACTGTAACTTCTATTTCTTTATTCTATTTACTACATTTTACCTGGTTTCTACAGACAACACATAAGACATAATTCAGTTATTTTCTCCTTCACTCAGGAGCCAAATGCAACCAGTGCACATCACACAACACTTCATAGACAACTCTGCTAACATTTACCTCCCAAAATCCCCATCTTTTCTATTTCCTTAGAAGTAGATGTAGCAAATTACAGCCTGAATTTCGAAAGATGTGGTTAGGAAAAGAATAATTTTCCCACTGGGGATTAATAAAGTGTATCTTCTTCTTCTTCTTTTAGTAATGAAAGAGGGAAATCTCTAAAAAAAAAAAAAAAAAAAAGACGGACACTTCCTCTATTTGTGGAGCTCATATTAGCTTTGGTTGAACTTTGTAGAAACTGCTCTGTATGTAGTCTTCCATCTCTCACAGCAATGAGACCCCTGTTAGGAACTGATCCCTCAAAGCCGGTATGGATGTGATGGATGATTACAGTGACCAAAAACTGTTGAAATCTACATTTGGGCATGTGTGTTTTGACATAATGAACCTATGATGTTCCACTAGAGAGCAGTATTGCACCAGTGTTCATTTCAATCACACATCAGAGCGGCCTGCACCTGTTGCTGAGAGCTGAGCGTGACACAAGCAGCGCTGTTGATATCACTTTAGTATAGATTGATGTCTTTTATTACACATTTTTGTGACAGAAAATGGCATTGGCGTTCGCTCAAAATGTCTTAAGACTTCAGATGGAAGAAAATAATTGGGCTCGATCAAGATCAATTGCACAGCGGTCTTGTGGAATGTATAGCAGAGTAGATACTCAAGGACATTCATTTTTCATATGTTAGCCTCTCAGCTGCTGCATCACTAAGCTGCATACAAATGAGCTGAGCTGGAACAATTCACAACACTTGATTATGGACCTTTTTGGTAAGCAGGATATTGCATGTGAGATCAATCAGATAAATGCTCATTTGACAGGTAACTAGAAAAACAAGCCACAGAAGAAAAATACATGTGGAACTATTGGGATTAGATTATCATGCCTGTTATTAATGGTAAGAATATTTATATATATAATTAGGAATTAAAATGACATAATAGCATTTGCATGCTTTATCAGTTGTCTATTGTTTTGAAGCTCTTATTCAGATTTCACTTTAAACACTGAAATCAAGGTAATCCATCAATAACACAGCCTTCATTCATTGATTCATATGTGAGAGTATATCTTGTGCCAGTGTTAAATACAGTCAGATAATCGGTCTGTGTTTGTCATTCCTGTAGGCAGTGCACTGGTTTTTCTTTGAGTAATTGATGCTTTCAGGGGAAATATTTGCATTTTGGAAAACAGGCAACTATCCATCATGTAAGCAGCTTTAGTAATCATTACATCTCGGCATAAACAGCTGTATAATAGAGACGACACAGAAACGCTCCCCTCAAGGATATTCACTGAGCCCCTCTCCCGATTTTTGAGGTCTTCAAGGCCGTTTGAGGAACAGAAGCAACACCTCAATTACCCTCTGTTGTCTTGTCGAATGCTTTGCACCTCCAAGCCTTCGTGCGGGTTCAGTACCTCTCAAATGATGAATATGTTTTAAGGGTTCTGAATTCAGCCCATTCCAGGCCTGGGTGAGGATGTCATGCTGTTACTGATTTCCCACCCTCAAAGTCATTTCAGACGAGGATACCCATCACTAGCCTGACCAACGGTGTTATTTTACACTCTTTAAATTTTTATCTTGCTACGAATTCATTTAAGATCCTTGGAAGGACAAGGACAGTATAACGATGCAACACACAACAGAGGGAACGTTAATGAGTTTTTTGCAGGTCATTTAACTGCAAACAGATTCCTTCCTTTTTCTGTCTGAACACCTTCATCACTTTTTGTTCTAATGTCTTACTTTTCTTGTTAGTTTGGTTCAGTGTTAATGTAGCCAGCTATCCATTAATTATTGTTTGTAATGTTCATTCAGACTATATAAAACCAGAAGGAATTGGAACCACTTCCATTATAATTATACATGGAAACTGGGCGTGCCTTATAAGCTTCCATTCTTTAGAAGCCCCTCTGTTAAGTGGCCATCTTTTTCAGACCATATTTGTCTCATAAATCTCATTGGTGGGTTTAGTAGTAAAGAGATGTGAACATTTATCAGCTGCTGGGGCCTGTTTACAGAGAGGATGATTTCCTGCCAGAGTACACAGTGTCCAGACATTAACATCCACTCAAATATTGTCAAAGATCAGAAACCTCTGGGTGAATCATATCAGCGCAGACGTGTGACACTCTTCTGCTTCTGTGTAAACTGCTAAACATTTCCTCTGGTGTTTCAGTGGCACATAAAAGCAGTTTTACCCTTGAGGCATGTTTGTGTCCCATATGAGAATTGTGAGTGACGAAAAACAACTGGAAAGTAAGTTGGTGCCTTATTTAGGTGCAGGTACTTTACTTGAGATTTTCATGTTATTCTACATTTATTTGACAGGTGTAGTTACTTGTTACTTTACAGATTAAGATTTTGCATTTAAAAACATTTGTTTAGTTGTAGATATATCTATAGATTTCCTGCTTTTCTGGCTTTTGACCATTTGACCAAAAACCTGTGTGCAGTCGGAGCCCCTTGTCACGTCACAGATGTTTAGGAGTTGTTAGCATCTCCACAAAGAAAAAAAAGAGAAGAACTAGTACTTACTTTTTATTATTTAAGTACATTTCGAAGAAAATACTTAATTTAAGCGCTTTTACTTGTAATGTAGAATTTTTTTTTGTTTTCTATAATAATTGTTCAGAATGCATTGATTAGTAATGAGGGCTGGGATGCAGTGATTGGTTAAGTCAGAAAGTGCAATTCAATATTAGAAAAAGTTTTGAAGAGTCAGTAGGTTTTTTCCTCAGTAACAAAGCTGAGTGTGTGGTTTGCTTCACACTGTGTTTTAAAAAACATTTTAAATCCTGCTGTCCATACTAGCTGTCATCAACATGAAGTGTCAACAGCATGATAAGCAGGTTCATCATTTCTCCTTGGCCTGCCACTATAGATATAATCTAGAGGGCAGGGACATGGCTGCCGCTGTGTCTGTGTGATGACAGGATAAGTGAGGATGTCTGAATGTCAGGCAGTGAGGATGAGCACCTGGTGCAGACAGGCATGTGTTTGAGCATAATGATGTGGCAGCCAAGATATCAGGTTGTTTCTTTTGAAGAATTTATTATTACCCGCTGGATATAATCATTAATTTTCCTCAGGACCTATTCTTTAATGGCTCCAGTGCTTATTGTGGTCTCACCAAGCAGTGCACTCTTCCAAGAAGGTAATTTGTTGGTCACTGCAGTCAATATGTTTTGCATTTTTAATCCCAGAAAATCTCTCCAAATGGAAAGTTGTCATCCAGGCAAGTGAGTTTGTGACTTATATCCACCACTTGCTTAAAGGGGAAAATTAGAAACCCTCCCCTTCTGGAGGACCTGCAGCTCGCCTCAGCATTGGCCTGTGAAGCAAAACCATTCATCTGTCCCACCACTGTTCCTTCAGCACTGTAAAAAATCAGCTGAGAGTTGCTGCAGAGATGGTTTGGAAATAATGTATTTGACTTGCAGAGATGTAGTAATTCTTGTCTGGATTCAGCGTTCCAAAGTGTTGCGTTTGCCCTTCAGCGTTTTGGGTTTTTGACGTGACGTGCATTTTTTTTTTTAAACTATCACGAGTCAAAAAAGTGTGTCAGCTCCCTGCAAACAATGTTTCTCCGCTTGTACAGTTTGCAGAAAAACTTCAAAGGTGCAGGTACAGAGCAGATTGAGTTTTTCTGGGAGCTGTCAATACACCAGACAAATGCTTGCAACAAACAGAAGATACGTGATGTGCAGGAAACAAAGAGGAAACAGCAGAGACGAGACCAGTCTCTAAATCCCTCTGAATGGCCTCAATCCTACCCACCTCTGACCTTATGTTAATTCCCCCTTTTGCCTGCTGGGCCTCATTGCTCACCTGCTGTCCCGCACAACCACTTGTTGCAGAAACACGCCTACTGTCTGGCGCCTGAGGAACTGAGAGCGCTGTTGTCCCCGTTTATCAGCTTAGCAAGAATTTACATTTTAATTGAATCCTGATGTTTGAGCCAAAC